GATTAATGTTAAGGACTATGTTAGACGAAAACACAGAGAAAAAATCCAAAGTTACCTCCAAACTGGACAATAAACCGCTGTTAATCATAAAAAACTTTAAATAAGATCATGAAACTTTGCATACTAAATGAACTAACTATAAAGCAGTGCTTATGTTATTGATTTTTTTAAAATACCATTATTTTCACTGTAAAAATAAATTACCTAAACTATCGGCGTCTTGAAGCTTGATTCCTGCCGCCCAGTTAGTATCGCTTCGGCTTTTAAAGGGGGAAGTTGGTTGCTTACGATCAGAATACACATTACGCAACAGGACGACGTAAAATTAAAATAGTAAATAACCGTGATAAAAATAAGAAGCGACTGGGTTAGCGTTAAGAAACAGGCATAAATATGATAAACCTAATGAAATAAGTATCTAACGACCTATCTACTTACAGCATTAGTGATTACAAACATGTCGGTACATAGCATACGACGCGCGGGGAAGTGGGGGCGAAATTAGAATTTGAGCTGACTTACTATATCCCCTTAAAATTAAAATTCATATAAATTATACATAACATATTTTATTAAAAATTTTACATTATATCATCGTAAAATCATAATTTAATTTCAAATTCAGTCAAGCAATAAATATCTAGAAAATTATTTGTGCCTAGTTTATTATATATTGAGATTGATTATTATATTGTGCGGTGCCGGGTTCGATTCCCTGTCGGTTTGACAAATGTTTAACAAATTAAATTTATGATGTTTAACAAATGGTTCCTTCGATTCCAATCCGTGATAGGCTTGTCATAAATTTCAACCAAATGTATTTATCAAAAATGTTAAAAAAATATTACAGCAGGTACCACCTGGCCATTAAAATGGCATAAATCAAACCAGCATTTATGAGATAATGGCAGCGTAGCTGGTCATTTAATTGACACTGATCATGTTTTTCAGCAGCGTAATCCGGTCATTAAATTGACAATGATCATGATATTTTAGCAGCATAGCTGTTCATTAAATTGACACTGAGCACAATATTTTAGCAGCGTAGCTGGTCATTAAATTGACACTGAGCACAATATTTTAGCAGCATAGCTGGTCATTAAATTGACACTGAGCACAATATTTTAGCAGCATAGCTGGTCATTAAATTGACATTGAGCACAATATTTTAACAGCATAGCTGGTCATTAAATTGACACTGAGCACAATATTTTAGCAGCGTAGCTGGTCATTAAATTGACACTGAGCACAATATTTTAGCAGCGTAGCTGGTCATTAAATTGAGAATGTTCATGATATTTTAGCAGCGTAGCTGGTCATTAAATTGACAATGATCATGATATTTTAGCAGCGTAGCTGGTCATTAAATTCACACTGAGCACAATATTTTAGCAGCTTAGCTGGTCATTAAATTGACAATGATCATGATATTTTAGCAGCATCGCTGGTCATTAAATTGACACTGACTATGATATTTTAGCAGCATAGCTGGTCATTAAATTGACACATCACAATATTTAATTGACAATGTACCGGTGTATTCTAACGGAATACTGGACAAGTACAAGCAAAGTGCTTGAATTTAGAATCATTTGGTTTCAGGTAGTCCTACTAGTAAAGAATTTAGTACATTGAAATTTCAACATGTCGCAACTCGTACTGGAGAAATTTGATTGTGAGGGGGAACCTACATCTGTAGGTACCAGATGGGAGCGTTGGAAACGTGCACTCTTTATTTACCTTGAGGCATCAGGTATAGACAATAGTGAGAAAAAGAGAGCATGTTTGTTTCGGGACATATTTTGGGACTAATAAACTTGGGAAATGGATACCAAATTTAGCAACTGTAACGGAACCCTAAAAGAATTGTTAAGAAATAAACAGGGGAAAGTATCAGAGTTAAAAGAACTCTGGGGAATAAAGCAGGATACCGCATTTAACAAACTAAAATCTGTACTTTCTACAATTCCTACTCTAGGATATTACGACGTTAGGGATCGCACTATGGTCATAGCAGAAGCAAGCCCAGTACGGCCCTAGCCCCCTAGGGCGTGTTGGTTCAAATAGACAGTAAAAGACCTCAAATCATTGCTTATGGTCATAAAGCGTTAACCAATTGAGAAAGGTGATACTGCCAAACAGAAAAAGAGGCTTTGGCTCTTGGTTGGGCAGTAGAACATTTTAATATATTTCTGTACAGCAAGGAGTTTGAGTTGGATCATAAACCACTTGAGATCATATCTGGACCCGTGTCCAAATCATGAGCTAGAATTGAGAGGTGGATATTGCGTCTTCAAGCTTACAAGTTTAAGGTCATTTACAAACCTGGAAAAGATAACACCGCAGACTGTTTATTAAGACTGTGCCAATTTGAAAATGTCTCAATGGATAGACCGGAATTTCACATACACCAAATTGTAGATTGTACAAGACCTGTAGCTGTTACGTTGAAGGATATCATAGAGTGTTCAAAAGAAGATCAGGAAATACTAAAGGTGAGAGAAGGCTTGTACAATAATAAATGGGATGAAGGAGTAAAAACTTACAAATTTTTTCAAAACGAGATATGTTTTATGAGGGAATTTTATTGAGATTATATATATATATATATATATATATATATATATATATATATATATATATATATATATATATATATATATATATATATATATATATGTACACATTTAAATATAATATTTATCGCATTTCTATATATACGGATATCTCAATTATATAACAGCAAATTATTTAGCATATATACATATCGCAATACAAATTACAACTTTATGTACATGCTCGTGCGCAACACGCGCAGCTAGATAATTTAATAATCAACCTGATATTTCCGTGATCGACGAGTGTTTAGTCTGCGTAAGTAAATTATTGTGTATTAGTTCGTTGCTCATTAATCACATTTAAGACTCCGCTTATAAATAACTATCATATTTTGTATATTTATGATCAAAATGTCGACAACTAGCACGTCAAAAACTAATGATAATTAGACTGCAACGCCGGATCTCAAATTAAAAATGTTATTGAATATAGCTTTGGCTAAGCGCCATTCTTTATTTAACCGCTTACAAACAATTTATGATCGCCGCTATCAACGTGATCGTACCGAGTACCGACATTAGCCGCGCCGGTGCGCAGCGTCTCGCTGTCTCGCTCCCGTGTCATCGCCCGTCGCACGGGGCACCGGCATCTCATTGTGTACGACGTCCATTGCTGCGCCGCTATCAACGTGATCGTACCGAGTACCGACATCAGCCGCGCCGGTGCGCAGCGTCTCGCTGTCTCGCTCCCGTGTCATCGCCCGTCGCACGGAGCACCGGCATCTCATTGTGTACGACGTCCATTGCTGCGCCGCTATCAACGTGATCGTACCGAGTATCGACATCAGCCGCGCCGGTGCGCAGCGTCTCGCTGTCTCGCTCCCGTGTCATCGCCCGTCGCACGGGGCACCGGCATCTCATTGTGTACGACGTCCATTGCTGCGCCGCTATCAACGTGATCGTACCGAGTATCGACATCAGCCGCGCCGGTGCGCAGCGTCTCGCTGTCTCGCTCCCGTGTCATCGCCCGTCGCACGGAGCACCGGCATCTCATTGTGTACGACGTCCATTGCTGCGCCGCTATCAACGTGATCGTACCGAGTATCGACATCAGCCGCGCCGGTGCGCAGCGTCTCGCTGTCTCGCTCCCGTGTCATCGCCCGTCGCACGGAGCACCGGCATCTCATTGTGTACGACGTCCATTGCTGCGCCGCTATCAACGTGATCGTACCGAGTACCGACATCAGCCGCGCCGGTGCGCAGCGTCTCGCTGTCTCGCTCCCGTGTCATCGCCCGTCGCACGGAGCACCGGCATCTCATTGTGTACGACGTCCATTGCTGCGCCGCTATCAACGTGATCGTACCGAGTACCGACATCAGCCGCGCCGGTGCGCAGCGTCTCGCTGTCTCGCTCCCGTGTCATCGCCCGTCGCACGGAGCACCGGCATCTCATTGTGTACGACGTCCATTGCTGCGCCGCTATCAACGTGATCGTACCGAGTACGGACATCAGCCGCGCCGGTGCGCAGCGTCTCGCTGTCTCGCTCCCGCGCCATCGCCCGTCGCACGGAGCACCGGCGTCTCATTGTGTACGACGTCCATTGCTGCGCCGCTATCAACGTGATCGTACCGAGTACCGACATCAGCCGCGCCGGTGTGCAGCGTCTCGCTGTCTCGCTCCCGTGTCATCGCCCGTCGCACGGAGCACCGGCATCTCATTGTGTACGACGTCCATTGCTGCGCCGCTATCAATGTGATCGTACCGAGTACCGACATCAGCCGCGCCGGTGCGCAGCGTCTCGCTGTCTCGCTCCCGCGCCATCGCCCGCGGCATCGCACGGAGCACCAGCATCTCATTGTGTACGACGTCCATTACTGCACCGCTATCTCGATATCGGAATATTAATTTACACGCAATGTATAAAAATTAGAGTTTTGCTGGCCACTAAGACTGTAATAGCACGCGATGTATATGGAATGCCAATTCAAAATTTAAATCCAACCTAATTCTGCAAAAACAGTTTACTATTTTTTAAATAAGATCTTTTTCCACTCCATATGGCTAACCTTATACCTTAAGTTTTAGTCAGTAAATATTTCTGAACGATAGTAGAAAAAACAATGTTTCCAAGACAATATTTTTACTACGTTTTCAATATATTTTTAATTAGATGACGAAACATGCACCACCGGTTTGCCCACCAGAGGGTGCATTGGAAATTCCTGTTCACACCCACTACATGATGGACTTCTGTTTTTGCCAAAAATAAATTCAGAAATAGCTATCAAGAAATTTTAGCAACAGTAAGTTGAGATGCAGCTGAAAGCCACGCCATACTTATTTTCTTTGTAAACGCCTATCCAAATCTTATTGCAAAACGTTTTAAGATGTTTAAAGAAATTCATTTTAATATTCGACATAAACAGATTCACAGCACTCACCTTTCTCTGGTAGACGAGGCCGAACTCCCTCAAGTGCTGCAGAAACACCAGCATGTTGTTGCTCATGCCTTCTGTGCTGTAGTCCTGGAAAATATATGTAAATACAGTTAACCTTTAATCACAAGCGTTATAATTTACCAACCATCTGACGCTGAGAGTTTCGGGTTCGAGTCCTAACCAATGTAAACATGATGTAGAAAAATATGATAAAATAAAACAAAACATTTTTTGTGTTTTTTTTTTTATAGAAGAGGGGGCAAATGAGCATGCGGCTCACCTGATGTTAGTGACTACCGCCGCCCATGATCAAATGCAACACCAGAGGAATTGCAGGAGCGTTGCCGGCCCTTTAGAAAGGACTTACTCCTGTTTTCTTGAAGGACCCCAAGTCGTATCGGTCCGAAAAAATCGCCGGTGGTAAACTATTCTACAGAGGTCGTACGCGGAAGAAAACTCCTTGTGAAACGTACAGTGGTAGACCGCCAAGCATCCAGATGGTGTGGATGGTATCGGGACGTTTGCCGCGTAGTGTATTCACGAAATTTGGCGGCTAGGATTAATTCGAACAATTCCTCAGAGCACTCCCCAAGGTATATGCGAAAGAAAATGCAAAGAGATGCAACATCTCTTGGCTGCGTCAGTAAATCGAGCCGATCGGAAAGCACTCGGTCGTCGACGATTCGAGCCGCTCTGCGCTGGATGCGGTCAAGTGGAAGGAGCTAGTACTGGGGAGCGCCAGCCCAGAGATGGGCCCAGTATTCCATGTGCGGCCGAACCTGCGTCTTGTAAAGTTGCAGGCGGTGTGCCGGCATGAAATACTGTCCTGCTCTGCTGAGCACGCCAAGCTTTTTAGAGGCCAATTTGGCCTTCTCTTCCAAGTGACCACAAAACTGCACGTCACTCGATATGTCGACCCCGAGGATTCCGAAACTGGCTGAAGCAACAAGGGGAGTGCCTTGAAACTGAGGAGATACGACAAAGGGGTTCTTTTTAGCGGTTAACAAAATTGTGTCTTCTGAGGGTTCCTCAGAAGACACAATTTTGCGCGTTTTTAAACTGGACTAGATTTAGTCGCTCCCAATCCGAGACTCTAAATATTGGTGCTGTCATCTGCATAGCAATGAATGTTACAGGTTTGCAACATATCATTGATATGCAGAAGAAACAGCGTTGGAGATAGCAGAGCCTTGTGGAACACCAGCATTAATAGGCTTGTAATCGGAGCTTGCACCGTCTACAACGACCTTGATGCTCCGATCTGCAAGAAAGCTGGTGATCCAATTGCACAATTTCTCGGGAAGCCCATAGGAAGGGAGCTTCGAAAGAAGCGCTTCTTGCCAAACCCGATCGAAGGCCTTCGCAATGTCCAAACTAACGGCCAATGTAGTCCAAGGGGGAGGCCCCTTGAACTCTACTGCCTCCACCCATCTGAGTTAGGTAGACCAGAAGATCACCAGCTTATCGACCACGGCAAAAACCGTATTGGCGATCACTAATCAGCTGGTGATCCTCAATCCGTACGGTTTTGGAGAATAAGGAGATGATGGCGATAGGCCAGTATTTGGACGGGTCTGAGCTGTCGCCATTTTTAGGAATCGGGTGGACGAAAGCCGTCTTCCATGATTTTGGGACTACGAAGAGTACCGAAAAACGCGTTAAAACCGTCCAACATAACAAAGGGGACCAGGCCCACTCGACTTGTGGATGTCCAGGGAGAGCACTGAGGTGCTTTGCGAACCGAGTGAACTACACTTGAATCTACTTGTTCAATTGTGGTCAATTGATGGGTTTAATTCGGCTTGGCAGTGTTTCAGAAATTACGGCACATCATCTTCTTTAGAATGAAAATCACTTATTTCGTGGATTATAGGTATTAAATATATGTTAGATACATAATTATATAATCAAAATTAAAAGCGACAGTAGCCTAAAGGCAGGGTGCGGACTGCAAACTCAAAAAGGTCGTGGGTTCGAATCCACCATTCGATTACTGGCGTGAACCACTCGTAACACAAGCAATTTAAGCTTACCACGAGTGGTTAAAGGGGAATATTAGGAAATTTTATAGCATTATTAATATTCTTTTAAAGAAAAAATTAAAAAATTATATAATCAAGTTCAACTATGGCCTTTCCTGTGGGCATACAAATACAATATTTTGAAAATCAAATAAAGTAAGTACCTAATAAAATACCTGAATGAAATACGAATGCAACATTAACAAAACTATAGTCAACCAAATGTAAGAAATACATTTTGACAGCTGTCAGACTTATTGCACCAGGCATGCCAACCAAAAAATGGGAACGTACAACATTCAATTCTTAAAAAAATCGATACTGATTATTTAGAGTTGGTAATTATTTACAGTTTGGTTTGAATAATATCAGAATAAATTAAAAACGGATAATTTAAAACACAAGATTTCTCAGTTTCTTCGTATTTGTTGGTACTGCTTATTTCTAGAGGCACAGTTATAAAAATTTATGATTGAAACTAGATTAAAAATAAATTTATTCAATCACTTTCAGTACAACTAGTAGGGATGTCGTTGTTTATATTAATTATTATAGTAGTCAAAATTAATGTCTCTTTCAGTCATCCATAATCATTTTTTTTTGTTTTTTCTACTACTTTCCCAATCATCCTTTGTGACATGGGCACATGCTTCAACGAATATTTTTTTATAGCATTGGGTGACAAACGAGCACACAGTCCACCTGATGGTAAGTGGATGCTATGGCCCATAGACATACACACTTAGCCTTGATTAAGAATCAAAATGCAAATGCGTTGTCGCCCCTGAGGACTAAGATGGAATACCTCGATTCCAGTAAAAAAGGGTCTCTGGTTCTCTACACTCACCACATGAAACACATCAGCATTGCGCTGCTATTTTACGCTGGTATTCTATACATGGTCCTGCTCTGGTTGATGATATAGATGTAGCGTGGCTCTACAAAAAGTTACTACAAAAAGTTATTATAGAAGAAACAGTCCCAAAAAGTTAAAACCGAGTCACAAAATAAGAAGACAAACAGAAAATTACGCGCAGTAAGCTCTCGAAACAGAAAGAGAAACTTTTTTATTCAATATAGATTATGAATAATACTTATTGAAAGTCACTTTTTTCATTTACCACTGGTGCGCAAAAAAAACCTGCAAGAAACCCAACGGGACTAGTTTTTTAAACAAAATAAGAGCTTACAATTATACTTGTTACAATTAACAACACAAGACAAATTAGAAATAGCTTGGTAGCGATCACCCTTCCCAAGGGTTATTATTATCCATAAATTCCTTAATATTAAAATAACCATTTTTATACAAACTTAGTTTAATAAAGTTTTTGAACTTTGTGTACTTACCTCAAATTTTGTATATTTTCTGGCATTTTGTTGTAAAAGCGTATACATCTCCTCAAAAATGAATTACTTCTGTGGAGTCGAGTAACTGGTACCAAAATGGCGGGATATTGAAATTATGTAGCGGTATTTTAGCACGGTCTTGTATATGAGTTTTTTGTCTACAAAAATTTACTTTGACAAAGTGCAAAAATAAACTCGTTTTATTCATGATTCATGTAATTTAAGGAATTTGAAAAATAAAAATTAAACTAAACAAATAATACATTAAAAAAAATAAATGATTCGATAATTAGAATATTTTTACCGATTATTTGAATATTTTGCCGATTATTCAGTAAATATACGTAGCGACATGTCATTGAAACGACGTCAAGTAAAAAAAGTTAATACTGGTTACTTTTTAATATTTTGCTTTGTTTGAAAAATTCAAATTTAAATCAGTAATAAAAGAACTATACACGTCGTAATGAAATATAGATAACTTCGTAATTCTTCGGATTTACGTAAAGGGTTATCTTAAATTGTGTGAGTACGCTTGTGCAAAGTTATTGCGGAATGATTAATGTGAAATGTCAAAAGGTATTTCTTAGATTTGGTTGACTATACGTGAAAGTCACGTTGTTGATTTCTTTGCAAGATATCAAAATTAATAAAATAATTGAAAATATTCTATATTTTAGGAAGTATATAAACATACATTTAACCAAAAATAGACACATCAAAGCAGTATAGAAATGAGCAACTATCAGGTTTATTTCTATTATTGACACCACAATCACTCACAGAGCAAGTAACCATAGTTAGGATAACAATTACTTACTGAAAATAATAGCTATTATACTCTAAAAAATTACAAAATATCTAGGAGCTTTTTTCTTACGTGCCGACTTGTGCCGACCTGTTATTCAAAATCGGTTACAGTCATGTGATTTGCTATCATTTTCTATCCTGTTTTTTTGTCATAAGGAATTTTCTTCTCCCTTGTACACTATGGCCGTCTATATATTCTAAGTCTATGCTGTAAGCCGTGTGGACATATTGGTTGTTTTGTAAAGTTGTCGAAGTTCATAAGAAAACCTATTAAGTTTCGTACGTACAATATCAACATGGGACTTCCATGTTAAGAGCCCTCTTACATTTCGGCGTTGCGAAAATTTAGGTATTTACGCCCCGAATGCGGCGAGTACTCGGCCTAGATTTGGCCGAATAATCGGCTTTGAAAAAGACGCGGTTGTGGGCGACCCGCGGTTATTTCCCTTACATATAGTTAGGGATGAAACGTAAATACAAGTACTTACTTTACTTTCGATACCAAGTACTTTTGGTATCGATACTTTAAAACTGAGGACCAAGTTGTATCGAAAGAAAAGTACTTGTATCAGTACTAGATCAGTCACACACCCACGGACACCGTTGATGAGTGATTACTGATTACTGCACTGATGTTCGTGAGATTGATTTCGTTATCGGGCGCGAAAATGACTGCTTATAGAAATCGATTTATCATAAAATATCTAGAAAAATTATCGATCTTGGAAATCACATAAAAAAATCATTCAAAACATGCTTCTATAGAAGAAACAAGCTACTGATCCAGTTACCAACCTAATGATCGTAAGAATTCCTCTACAGTAGAGTTAAATCAATACTTAAGCGTACCAAGGATCGCAAGAGATGCAAATCCATATTCTTTTCCCCCATCTTCGGAAAAGTTGCGGCTCAATACTTATCAACACTCGCCAGTTCAGTTTACAGTGAACGGCTTTTTTCAGAGGCAGGCTTAGTATATGAAGCAAAAAGGAGCAAACTAGACCCAAATAGGTGGGAAAAACTCTTTTTGCGTCACAATCTTACTCTCTTAAATTTTAAATATCAGTAATAATAATTTTTACTATAGATTCTTATGCACGTTTTCAATATTTCCTATGTTCCTGATGTTTAAATGTGTCTGATATTTTTTGTCTTTATTTTTCTCCGTAATACAATTAAAGCCGAGTACTCGGTACTCGGCCGTTAATACTCGGTGTTCGGCCGAACCCTTAAAAAATGCCGAATCCGCCGAGAATCGAATCCAAACCGAGTACTCGTCCCATGCCTAATTTGTATCAAAGTGTATTTTGGCGGATATCTTTCTTTGAAAGGTCATGCATTTAGTGTTATTTATATTTATTTTAAAATTATTAAGGTTCAAATCAACTATTTTATTAAATGTCTCATTCATTTCATTATTTAAGGCAGTCAAACCTGTAGTCCTGAAAAGGACAGTACAATCATCTACAAAAAGCCTCATGGGGAAGTTTGTGACTTACCAATAACACTTCACACCACAACTCACAGTTCTAGATTCGAAATTCTTATCATGTTCATGCATAAATAATTCCAAAAACTTGAAAAGAAGGGCGTACAACTGTTGTCAGTGATGACATAATATGGATCTAGACATAGAGCTCAGAAAATATCCGCAGTAGAACCAGAGTAACCCACAAAGGCCAACGGATTAGTAAGCTGAAATGGCAATGGGCTGATCATATAGCTCGAAGATGCGACAACTGATGGGGAAGAAAGTTTATCGAGTGGCAGCCTCGTACCGCAAAGCGAAGTGTAGGGTGGTACCCTGCTCGTTGCTCGTTGGAGTGACGACCTGGTAAGATATGCAAGAAGATAATGAATATTGGTGGCTCAGGAGCTCCGGACCATGTTTGGTGGTATTCCTTTTATATTCAGAACTGGACCTGTAAAGGGCCGTAATGATGATAATGATGACAATAATGATGATGATGATGACGACGACGATTATGATGAACACCGTAAAGTAGTGACTGCCTAATGTCTCTGCAACAATCTAACCTACCTCAGTGCAATAGTAGTAGTGGTAGTGGATGTTTTTTTTAAATATTTGAGTTAACAAGTTAACAGCCCACCTGATGCCTGACGATATTTTATTCATTTCTCAATGTGAGAGAAACCGCGGCTAGCAGAAGGAAGTTAAAATTAAAGTTACAGCCTATATACGTCCCACCGCTGGGCACAGGCCTCCTCTTAGCTCTAAGTGTTCAACGCATTGCCGCAATGCGTGTTGGCGGACTTCACATGTCTTCGAAAAATATTTTTTTATTTCTCTTAAGGTTTGTGAGGATGTTTTCCTTCGCTGCCAAGCACGTAGAAAGCACTTCAAATTAACTATTGTATTGGTGCCGGCGGGGATCAAGCCCGCGTTGCTACGTGGTAGAGCCGCGCTGCAGTTATATGGTTGTAGCACGATTGGGTCGGGGATGGACTACGCTGTCACAGAATACTAGCGTAAAATAGCAGATACCAGTAGAAAGATCCAGAGACTACCGGAAAGATGATTACATCGTCCTACACACCATCGCGTTTGATTCTAATCAGGATAGATGTAATGTCACAGGTAACACGAATTGGTCGGCGGAACCAGGGTCGGGCCACGCTCTCACAGAATACCGGCGTAAAATAGCACTTAATGCTGTTGTGTTGTGAATGTAGACAACCAGAGACCTTTTTACTGGAAACGAGGTATTCTATCTCAGTCCTCAGGGGTGACAACGTATCTGCATCTGTATTGAATCCGAGTCGAGGATAGATGTAAATGTCTATGGGCTACAGCATGCATATGCCATCAGGTAGACTGTGTGCTATAAAAATTCTATGAAAGTTTCCAGCGAGTGCTTAGCATCTGAGAAACCACGGCTCTTCAAGGTTTTAAACTTTAAACTATTCATAAATATGATGAAAGCGTCCATTTCCAACTCACCTTTCCAAGTGTACTAAAGCTGAGCTGGTAGAGGAAGGCCAGGCACTCGGCAGCACTCAAGCTCCTCTTCTCCGCTGTGTGCAGGTAATGTTGCAGGAACAGCCACACCTGAAACCAATACGTAAAAATAACTAAGACATACCTGGTAGTCAGCAACATCTTCCTGATGTAATTAAAAACTGCGGTTTCCAATCCGCCTTACAAACGTGGCAACTATTGCAAAGTCTCCCCGAAGAGGCAATTTATGAGGGAGGCCTATGTTTAGCAGTGGATTTTGTATGCTGTAATGGATGGAATGGTGTTGCCGCGTGCGGCGTGCACCCATGCAGCAGGAGAATTTGGCATTTTAAAACGAAACGCCGTAGTGAAATTGAAAGGGTCGCATTTTATTACAGTAACAATGAGAACAAAAAGTATTCTATTTTATTTATCGAATAGAAAAACATTTATTTAACAAACACAGTAATAAAAACAAAATAATAAGTGCGCCGAGTGTACCCACACTACGTTAGTGAACAGACTATATTAAATGTCTGCGCATGTGAACCATTAGTGGAAACGATGAAACAAGAGCTCTGAAGGTGATGTGTATTACAAGATAACGTATCTGCTTAGGCGCCTTGAGATACTGTCGTCAACAACTGTCTGCTGGCTCAAGCTGCCGTTAACCCACAGACTAACAGCTGCCTAAAATCTCCCAAAAACTTCACAATGTGACGCATTAACGTAGTCAGAAGTTTTGAAACAAATTATTTCAAAGGATAATTTCTTTACATACTTGACACTGGGAACAATACAACCGTACGAGTCCAATACCAGAGAAAAAAACAACTCGCACTTGACAACAGCTGCGGGCCTCGTACCACATAGTAGTAGGTGGCGGCGATAAGCAACGTCCGTCACACATGTTACGATACTTAAGAGACAGTCGCTGCTACGATCGTAAGAGCATTTTCAAGCGTGGTACCTGTGGCTAAATCCCCCACATGAGGCAAACTATGAGGGAGGCCTATGTTCAGCAGTGCACTTTTTAGGCTCTAACGGATGGTTAGATGGAGGATAAGAGCGTAATGATCTTATATTTACGTCAGTTCTATACATTAAATAAAACTAATTTTTAGATTTTATCGCGTTTATTTATAAGTTAGAGCATGACCACTATTCCACTCGATGGTTAGTGGTGATACAGCCGAAACACTGCAGCATTACTATGGTAAAACTATACAGAAGGTAAAATGCAGTCTTAGCTTAACAAGTCTATTCACTCTTGCTTTGAAGACACCTACATTGTAGTTTAAATTTTTTTAATTCCCTACTATTCGAGGAAACTGTGGACTACCTTAAAACTATTACTTTTTAAGTCAAATCTATGCAGAATGAGACAGTATACTTTAGACAAATTTTTGTTTTTAGGGACTCCTCTTATTACTGGTAATGAGGCATTCCGTTCACGTTTACTACTGAACATAGGTCATAATTACTCATAGGTCAACATACTTTTGCCATAGCTGCCACAATTGGCCTGCCAAACTTTGGCAACCACAGTGTTTTATTATCCCATTCCGGTTTTCCTCTGTCGCCATTTACTAAAGGGACGATGTGGGGTAGTGGATATTCTTATACCACCACTGCACGGTAACATAATGAATAGTTAACACAAAATCTTTTCTACGTAGTAAAAGTCTTATGAAAAGGAAATGAAAAAAATCTTGAAAGTGAGTGAGGCTAATACCTACATATTATGTTCTATAAAATTTTCGGATCGATACTACTTAGGGACCTTCGAGAAAAGAATTTACTCCCCTCTAAAAAGTCCGGCAACACATATGCAATTCCTCTGGTGCGGTTGTTTTTGGACGGAGGCAGCTCCTTACCATCAGGTGATCCACATGCTCGTTTGCCTCCCTCTACTATAAAAAAGTACCTGTTTAGCAGTGCTCAGAAGTAGGAACTGAAAGCCAGCTTTCGTAATTACGGCAGATCCATCTTCTGCATCCCTGCAAAGCAGAAATTTCTATGTTGTAGACCATGTATGTTGTGACCCAGGAAATTACGTCTCCGTGGCGCTGTGGCGATTCGAATACCGCACGGAACAAGTATATGGCCTTAAAACAATTGTATTTGTCCTTGTGAAATTTATGTACGTAAACTGCCCCTACGATACAGGAGGAAAAAAAAAGAAAAAAATAGAATAAATTTCACCGAAGTTGTCTTTTTTTTTCAATTACTTGCTATCAAACGATGTTTGTTTATGTTTTTTTCGATGATATTTTTAAACGATATTTAGATTTTCAGCGATACCCACTGGGCACATTAAAAAAATTATCGTCTATATAAAAACCAAGCACAGTCTAAGGAAGTTGGCTGACATCTCACATATGTATAATATATGTTGGCGATGCGAGATAAATATCCCATTAAGTCTTTCAATGTTCCTTATAAATGAAATATTAGGAATAATTTATTTTATTAAATGCTAATTTCTGAGTAAAAAGGAGTAAAGAAAGGTTATTGTATTTACTTAAAGTCATGCATTACATAGTAATCGGCTATGTAATACGATATAAATAAAGTTTAATGCTATAGTTCGTGCCAAATCGATTGAGAAAAACGGACGATGACTTCAGATATGAGTCGAATGTCAAAAGGCGTAACTTACAAAATCTCAATTTAGATGTGATAACAATAATATTGATATTATTCACACTTCTAGATCAGCCACATATGTTTTGTTTGTTTCTTAAATGATATTGTCTGTGGTTCCTATAAACATCGTAAAATCTTACGGTACATCGCGAAAAATGTGTTATATTTTATATTTCAATTTATGGTAAGTAACGCAGCAATTCATTTAATAACAGTTTCATATAAAAAATATTTGAAGTAATATAATCACCATATTGTGCTTTTGCAAATTCATCCCTTTAAAATAAACAAAACGCGCGTTACGTCAGTTTGTTCTAAAAGAAACGTGACAATGGCAGCCAGAGATGCGTCACTTTTTTTGAGCCGGCCGAATAAAAATAAAGTTCTTATATAATATTGAAAATAAAGTTTTATCTTTTGAATAAGTAAGTACTTATTCGATGTCATTATCATTCAAATCTTTATGTGTTATAAATTAATGCTTTTTGATGTTAAATGAATAAAGTACTTTATAACAATAGATGATTTTTCTTCTACAGCAATCATTTACATACATTTTTAATAATAGTTAATAAATATATGTTATATCAATCATTAAAAATAAAGAAAGTACTATATATAAAAAGTGCCTATATATTGAAGGTTTGTAGCCCCTGGTTAAACGACCGAAAGGTCAATGTCCGTTTTTCTCAATCGATTTGGCACGAACTATAGAGTGAAAAGGTGTATATCTGTAGACAAGGATGGGCATAAGTATTAGAAAGGGATGGCAAGAGCCTCCTATGGGATTCACAGGGTCATGTGAGAATGAGTTTGCCACCTTATAAAGGTAATTAACAGTAAAAAGGGTGAGCACAAACCGTTTCTTGAAAATATTAAAATATTAATTGAATTATATATTTTTCATTTTTTTAATATGATATATTTCGATAGTATGAAAGTGTCATGTTGTTAAATTAGATTATTCAGTTTTTTTAAAACGTTATCCCTACACTAGGATTATCTCCTGTATCGTGGAGGCAGCTTACAAACATAAATTTAAATACAAAGCGGTGTGCCACAAGGTTCTGTACTCGGGTCAGTTTTGTTTATATTATTTACCTTTGATTTACCTAAAAGCTTGAGTTCTAATGTAAGCATGTTCGCTGATGATACGAAGATATTCGCAAACCCACTAGAGGACTTTGCTCGCCTTCAAGCAGATCCAATAAAAAAATCAGATTGGTACAACAAGTGACTTATCAAATTAAATATAAGTAAATGCACAGTCTTCCATATAGGAAACCGAAACTCTCGCTTCATATATAAAATCGATGATATACCTTTGGAAGAAGTTATATAAGTATAGTAAAATAAGATTTAGGTGTGCACATAAGTAAAGATCTAAAACGCAAATAGTTTTATTTATCTGAATAGAAAATACTTTGGGCATCTAACACCAGAAATTATCCTAAAAATACATAAGGCATACATTCGACCTATTTTGGAGTAATATGCAGTCCAAATTTAGAGCCCCTATTTCAAAAAGGATATTGATTTACTGGAGGAGGTTAAACGCAGATTTTCAAGAGTCCCTAGGGTATTGAAAAACATACCACGTGAGAAAAGGCTGAATAAACTTAAACTAACAACACTGAAAGATCGCAGAGAACGGGGAGACTTGATCGAAGCATAGAAAATTATACATGGACACTACGATCTGGAAAGTTTTGACAAAGATTTATTCCAGTACTCGACAAACACACATCTTAACCCACACAAGCACTTTTTTAGCCAAAGGGGGGTTAAAGCATGGAACAAGCTGCCATCAGAAGTGATATCTGCACAAACTATTAATCAATTCAAGAACAGATAAGATAAACATCCAAAGTTAGAATAATTACACATTTGAAAATAGGATATGTCCTGATATCAGTTGTTTCAACTGCTAACCTGTTAAGTAATAATAATAATAAAATAATAATTTCCCAAGGACAAACATCCAATTATATATGTGGTAGAGCCACACTTCAGGTATATTATGGCTGTAGAATGAATTGGTCGGCTCGACCGGAGTAGGACCAAGCTCTCACAGAATAGCAGTGTAAAATAGCAGCTTAATTCTGTTGTTTCGTATGGTGAGAGTAGAGAACCGGAGACCCTTTTTACTAGAAATGAGGCATTCTATCTTATTCCTCAGCGGTGCCAACGCATCTGCAATTTGATTCTTAATCGTGGACAAATATAGATGTCCATAGGCCACAACATCCTCTTACCATCAGGTGGACTGTGTGCTGGTTAGTCACCCATATTCTATATAAAAAAAAAACAAATCCGGAACAAGTAGGTATTTTAGACCATACAAATATATTTCCGTGCGAGATTCAAACACACTACCCACGGGGCCGCAACTCAATGCCACTGCGCCATGGAGCCATCACATCGGTCATTCTTTATTGGTAACATTTCTATTTAGATCCTCTATTTACTGATAAAATAAGATGTGTGCAGTTCACACGTGGCAGAAGTGAAACATTCTGTAAAATAAATTTCGAGAGAATGAGACAAATGCAGAATATCAGGAGCAGGATAATTGTAGGGTTTTTGTAATTAAAATACAAATAAATTCATAATAAACACTTTATACTATATTCTATATCATTCTCTTGCAGGTTATATCCTATAGATATACTCGTACATATATGTTTGTCCCTTTTTAGTGTCACTTTTTTGTTTCATAAAATTTCAAATCACAATGTTTCTAAAGATGTTTCCACTTCAATAAGCAAAGAAGTTCAAGGTACAAGTTCCTTTTGTCCACCGAATGAAACCACGCATGAATGTTCACCACGCTTACTTCGTGTTGGACAATAATCATAATGCAAATTTGTATTTTAAATGGCGTTGTCATATTGTGGCCAAACAAATACTTCCATCTTAATTTCTAAAAATAATGAATAGAAATCTTTCAATATCACTGACCTGGTCATTAAACCGGCATGAAGCAATATTCTTACGGCATCTGCACTGATGCCCTCGGTCTGAGCACTGCCCACCATGTAGTGCAGGACGCACTCCCATCGCTCCAAAGCATATGCGTCCAAGAATGCAATGTCCCTGGCTTTTCCATCAGGTTCTAGAGATGATGACATACTCCATGGTCGACCACTGTTAATACAAGGTTATAGATAGTTAGAAAGATAGATAACACTTTATTAAACTTTAACTTTATTAAAAGGAACAAAAAGAAATGTGGTACAATAGGCAGTCTTATCACTTAAGCAATTTCTAACAGATGACTTTTGCATGAATAGGATTGCCAGAGAACAATAAAAACGTGTATGGATTGGCGAAAACGATAAGATTATTGATGTGACAACTTATTTAGCATCAAAACTTTGAAACTGAGTGAAATGAAAAAGCGATACTAAAAAGAGACAAACATTTACATTTATAGGATTAAGCCTGCAAGAGAATGAGATAGAATACAGTATAGTAAGCAACAGTAACCTAATGGCAAGTTGCGAACCGTGAACTCAAAAGGTTTTGGGTTTGCACATCGCACAAGCACATAAAAATTGGAATCAGAATTATTGAAATTACATAGAAGAATTACACTACCCCGTATCTTCCCATATGTCGTAAGAGGCGGTACATGAAAACTGAAACAGGAGATGAGCAGCAGCATCTTCCGAAAATTAGGTCAATATTAAAACAATGGGTTGCAAACCCGGCCTGCCCAGCATGGCAAATACATACCTGACACAATCTATGGAAGATCTTTTGTTAAGGAGAGGACATTGATACTTCTTTCTTTATGTGGTAGAGCCATGCTGCAGCTTATTATGGTGCAGCTCGGATGAGTTTTCACAACTGGGGAAGGACCACACTCTCACAAAATACCAGAGTGAAGTAGCAGTTTAATGCTTCTGAGTTTCATATGGTGTGCGGAGAGAACTGGTGACACTTTTTACTCGAAACAAGGCATTTTATCGTAGTCCTCAGGGGTGACAATACACGACACATAATAAGTATTCTATATAAATTTTGATTCTTATTCGAGAATTATATGTCTATAGCCAACAACATCTGCTTACCATCACAAAGACTGTGTGCTTATTTGTTACCCCTATCCTATAAAAAAATATAATAGTCTGTAATAATGATAATGATATTGAATTTGTTACTCCAAATATTAACTCACCCTCCTAACAAAGCTACTTTCAGATTCTTCTTAAAGGACTGAGCTAACATCCAGCCCGGCAAACCTCCTGGTATTGGTGCCTCTTGCCATACCGACAATTCTGATAGAGCTTCACATGCTTTACTTTGTTCCCTGAAACACAATAATCTAACTTATAAATTTTGTAAAACTAACCAAGTTTCACACATGATATGAATCACAAGGTATGAATAATACTTAGATCATTGAATGGTCTAAGGAATAGTATTATAGAATTACGTGCATTTTTAATATATGATAGCAAATAAGTACATTCTATTTCAGAACACAATTAACCTGTGTAATCCCAGAACAATATATCAACAACAAACAAATGACACCTTTGTAGACCCCTCAGAACAATTCTTTTTTAATATTATTTATAAGAATGATCCAACTAAAAACCTAAAAAAAATATTAGAATTAGTCTTGTTACTAAATTTCTATTTTTTTTAATTTATTTTACAACAACTAAAATACATACTAAACAAAGTTCATAAATACAGTGCAACATAAACCTATATAAGATTTTTCTGCACACTGCAGTTCGCCGTCCTTCAAGCGCAAAAATTTTAATATTATTTATAGTAAGGAGGTCACTCATTTCTATACACCTAACATGAGGATGAGTTGTAGTGGCTATTTAGTTAGAGTAGTATACAGGATGTTTGGAGGAAATATAATTTCATATTTTTGGAATATACATATGGTAATTATATTACATATAGTAAGTATTTTAGTTTTTAGTTATATTATGTTAGTTGATTCAAAAAGTATGTTTTTAATTTGTATTTAATATTTTTGAGATAGATATTTTCCTTCAAGGTTTTAGGAAGTTTATTAATTAATTTAGGAATAATAATCTTATTTTGATGATCGCCATACATATTATGTGATTTAACTGTAATTAATTTTGGGTTATATATACTTCTAAGCTGATGTTTGTAGGTATGACTTATAATTTTGCATTAAAGAACTGTTCTACAAGTAAAGTGTTAATTTTTTTTCTATTGGCAGGATACCACAGTATTTAAATAATTTGTTATAATTGTCCTTATATTGTTGTTTGGTTTTAGGCGGGACAATTGTTTTGATGATTCTAAGTTGTAATTCATGTATTCTACAAAGATGCAATTACAGGTTCTACCATAGCTACTTAATCCGTATTGTATTATTGATTCGGCCAGAGCCTTATAAATGGACAATAGTGTAGGAAAGGGAACTTTATACCTAACGACAGAAAATTTGGCAAGTATGGCCCTTAACTTATCACACACTTTATTAATATGGTACGTCCATTTAAATCGACTGTCTATTATGAGTCTAAGGTAAGGTTGTTGTTCTACTAATTCAATATGACTACAATTACAAGTCTGGTTATACATGTTATTATGGAGACATTGGTGGCTGTGAGCAGCGAGTTTTAAAGTAACAGATACTCTATTATGACTGGATGAAATGTACATCATTTTTGTTTTTGTGGCATTCGGAACAAGCCCTGCATCGTGAGACCATTTCATAAGGTTAGTGAAATCTTCTTGCAATTTCTGTAATGCCACATATATGTCGTTTTCCGCCGCTAGTATGCAGGTATCATCTGAAAAATGATATCTATCTTGCAGTTTCTAATTACATTGGCAACATTATTAACATATGTCAAGTAATGGAAAGACCCAAGCACAGATCTCTGTGCAGTACCATGTATGACGGTTTTCTTTGTACTTGTAGCATTTCCTACTTTACCTCTATATCCCCTCTCTTTAACATAGTCTTTGCACCAATTTAAAAGGGGTCCTTGCAGTCCACATTCATCAAGCCTTTCAATCAGTAAGTCATGTCTAAGGGTGTCGAACGCTTTACTATAGTCAATGAAAACGACTAGAACGTGTTTTTTATTATCAAGATAATGGTTTACGTCGTCAGTAAAAGAAGATAAAAGTTGAGTGGTACTTTTATGCTGCTGAAAACCATACTGACTTTTATTTAAAACTGAGTGTTGACTATAAAAATTATTTATTTGTTTACTTATATATTTTTCAATTATTTTGTCTAGTGTAGGTAATATTGTTATTGGGCGATAATTGTCGTAATCCGTTCCTACCTTTTTTATGTACGGGTCTTACAATTCCAGTTTTTAATTCAGTAGGATACTTGCCTTTTTCTATACACGCATTTATTAGGTCGGCTATAGTTACCGATATTTTGTCCGCAATATAGATAATTATTTATTATATTATTATAAATTACGATTAAAAGAATTTACTTCAAATGCCGACCTTCCGCCACTGTTATTAAATAAATTCGGAGAGAACTACATCGACAAACAAACTTGACAAACCATGTAGATGGCGCTGTTACAGAATATTTTTTGTGAGATGTGTTTACAGTCGAATATTAAGTTTATAAAACGGCGACACATAAAAAAATAAAAAATGTCGGGCGCGCATGTTTTCGTTCAAATTCCTACAAAACATATTGTTGTGGCATGTTTGTTGTGTTTTTCCTTTAATTTTTTACTTGTACACAGTTTTGTTTTTCCATTATTGCGTTGATTTGAATGAATTTCGCTCCTCCGCATTAGCACAGAACACTTTTACTCCTAACACAGAACATAGAAAATATAACTGTTGCTTTAATCAAGTTTAATTGCAGATAAAATGTAGTTTTTTTTTTCTTTATGCCAGTTTGCACAACTTCAAGTTTATAAAGCACCATCTATACAACGATTTTTCAAAACTCAAAGATTTCCCATAAAATTGGAATAAAATACAGAATAACATAGTAAAAAAACAACATAGTATTTTAAAATTAATAGATAGATATAAAATCAATAGACGAATACTGCCATTTTAAAGGTTTCTAAATAACTTGGCAACTTTAAGGTGGAAATCTGGTAAAACCAATTTCACAAATGAAAACATTTTGTAACAGCGCCATCTACATGGTTTATCAAGTACTACATTGACCTGCAAAGCCAACATAGTTCTTTGCAAATTTATTCAATGGCGCTGTTATTAATGCCGCATGGGTTCCATTTATTAGTGGATAAGGCCTGACTTTGAGAACCAAACAAATAAATATTATTGACCTGACCCTGGCCTGACCAAAGTTAGAGTTGATCTGATGCAATGTCGAGATCTGAGAGGTTAATGTGTAACGTAATCTAACAGACAACTTTTGCATGGACAGGATTCTATATATATTATGTTCAACCATAATCTTCCTATAGATTTACAAGCTCATGCAGTAAAGTTATTGATAAAATTAGCATATACATAAAATTGTGCCCTGTAGTGGTGACACATAAATGGCATTATAACAAGGCATATATCTACTACTGCATATCTTCCCATGGGTGTTATAAGCGGCGACAGAGGGAAACAGAAACATGTGATGAGATGTAGCATAACATCTCAAAGTAATAAAAAACTGCGGTAGCCAAGCCATCTAGCTAGCATGGCAAGAGGCCTGATGTTTTAACAAAATTGTTGAATTGCAAATCTGCTGTTGGAAAAGTTACAAGTTGCATTTCATTAATAATTAAAAACATAATATGCATTGGTGTTCATTATAATAGCCACTCTACTTATCTCTTCTGTACAAATACAATAAAAAACATGGAATGAACAACCTCAGACAATAAAATACAAAATAAACTTTTTAAAGACCAACACCGGTACTAATTGGCCCCTTTGCATGGATTACTTAGGGCATAAAGTACTCTTAATCCTGTACTGAATGTGCTACTATGTGTCTCCTCCTTTCCTAAGTAGTTACATTTTACAATAATGTAGTCTAAACTAGGATTTCAACCCTGGTACCATACCTGGATTGAAGTTGTAGTTTGTGCATAGAATGATTTGACTTGATCTAGCATTGCATCTCATCACTAATAATAAAGACTACTGGAGTAGTAAAAACATACTTAGCATGTGTTTGGGATACCCAAGAAGCAACAACAGCTTGAGGCACTGGCTGCTCTACAAATAGCAAGCGAATGACAAAATGACGAGCTAGTTCTGGTAGTTCCCTGAAAAGAAAGCAGAACACACATAATTATTATTTGTAGTTTTTAATTAATATTATAAAAAGCTGAAGGTGCTCTGGGTTAACTCTGACATCAGGACGTCAGTCACCTCAGTCCCCAGTGACCAAGGGTGCTGGAAAGCACACAAAACGTCGGAAATTAAAATCATATAAATTAAATGCGATAAAATACATAAAAGTAGTTTTAATCAATATGTAGCGTTCGCGTAAATATAAGGACACAGGTATATTTCTTACAATAATAAAAGTAAAATAAAAAATGGAGAACCTTATCAGATATACATTGGCTATGTACAAACAATCTTACACATATTACACAAATATTTTTATACATCTATGTTAGGAAGGTTAATTAAAACCTCAGAAATGTAGGAGAATATTATTATTCATCATGTGTTGGCAAAGTAAGAAAATTTCTCAACCCATTTGAACTTATAGACTCATGTGTGGTGAGGTCTACTATGGCAAATCCACCTTACAATTCCTCTGTTGTAAGAAGTGGACTGTTAAGCTTCATATAATATCAACACTTTTATTTGCAAAAAATACCTCTTCTAATTCTGATCACTTCATTTGTGTGATGGGTGTATTTTTAACCTTAAAATTGCAGTATTTGTAAATTAGGAATAATTTGTATGGCATTCAACTATAGAAATATACACACCTATAAACTGCTAAACATATTGTTGGATAGTTGTATAAAGTTTCTAAAAATTGAGGTGTACGACTTTTTAAATATTCATGGAGATTTTTACACTGCAATGTTGGTGAAGGGTTTAAATTTAAAGATGATTTAGATTTAGAGGATTCTGACATTTTTTTAGCTTTTTATTTAAGGTCATTAAATACTTGAATGAGCTACCAAGCCTCAATACGCCAGTATTTATTTTATTTTAACCACTCTTTCTGTTATGGTTACAAATTACAATTACAGATTTACAGATAAAACGAAGACCGATATCAAATACGTCACTGTTAATGTCAACTGTCAAGCGTCAAGCATAGATAAATAGATATGTAGCAAGGTGTCAAGTTGAGTCAAGTGTTATAACTATTAGGCCGGTCCCATACATACGGAATACATGCTTTCCGATGACGTTCGGATTTTGATTTTTGACTTTTCATTATTTTATTTCTGCCAAATTAGTAATTATAATGGACGACACACAGTCAGTTCAACTAATCATTCCAACTGATCAGTTCAAACTAGGACTGTTGATATTTTTTAAAATATCGGATTTTCGATAAATCGATTATTATAAATATATCAATATCGGAGTTTTATATATAAGTTTATTTATATAGTGGCGACCATAACTCGATTTTTATAACTGTTTTTATAATGATTTCTTATATTTACGCGAACACTAAACATTCATGAAAATAAAGAATGACGCTGGGTACTACCACCTGTTAATAAAATTAAAACTAAACCCAAGCATACCGCTGCAAGACTTCAAGACACACTAAGTTCATTCTGCGTAGATCGGACTATAAACAATAATTAAAAAGCTGAAGGTACTCCGGGTTAAGATTGACATCGGGACGTCAGTCACCTTAGTCCCCCGTGACCATGGGTGCTGGTAGGCACCCGAAACATTGGTAATTAAAAATCATTTAAAGTTAAACGCGATAAAATCCGTAAAAGTAGTTTTAATCAACTGTTTTTATACTAAAATCAAAATAAATAATTTATATAATACCAATAATTTATTTAATACGATAGTAAATTTATTTTTTTCTCCTTCAAATATTTCATAAAAACTACACTTAACACATAAATGTTTGTAACCCCTGTTAGTAGGCAAAGACGTCATTGTACGAAGTTCTTCGCGACTGGACTTTAACAATATTTAAATATTGATATTATTCACACTACTAGGTCAGCACATATGTTTTGTTTTTATTTTTTGTTTCTAAAATAATATTGTTTGTGGTTCCTACAAACATCGTAAAATCTTACGATACATCACGAAAAATGTTATATTTTATATTTTCATTTATGGTAAGTAAAGCATCAATTCATTTAATAACAGTTTCTTTCGGCTTCTTCTGGCTTTTGCAAAATCAACCCTTTAAAATAAATAAAACGCGCGTTACGTCAATTCGTTCCAAAAGAAATGTGACAATGGCAGCCACAGATGTGTCACCTTTTTTGGGCCGGTATATACGACCGATACGAGTGATGATTGCACCGAATAAAAATAAAGTTCTTATATAATAATGAAAATTAAGTTTTATCTTTTGAATAAGTACGTACTTATTCGGTGTCGTTATCACTCTAATCTTTATATGTGTTAAAAATGAATGCTTTTTGCTGTCAAATGAATAAAGTACTTTACAACAATAGATGATTTTTCTTCTACAGCGATCTTTTACATAACTTTTTAATAATAGATAATAAATATATATTATATCAATCATTATAAAAAAAATCATTATAAATAAAGAAAGTACTATATATAAAATGTGGCTATATATTGAAGGTTTGTAACCCCTGGTTAAACGACCTAAAGGTCATTGTCCGTTTTCCGCAATCGATTTGGCACATATTACGGCTATATTTTTACAACAATATGTTGATCACGTATTGTGCCGATTAAGCTTTTAATATTAGATTACTGAAAACATGTTATGGAGTTTAATGTTACAGAAGACGCTAACTCCACTGTAAAATTGTTATCGTTTGTCAAACCAAGGTGTCTACTTTGAGTCAACAGACTTGTATTGATCATCCTATAAAATATTCTTCATCGAAGTAATGTAATCACTTATTAAGGAAGTCAGTATTGCTCTAAATTAGTTTTAATTCATTTTTGTTATGAAATAATAATAATAAATGTCATCGAGACAATTTTTAGTTTTTAAAAAGCTTCAGCAACGCTCCCGAAACTTAAATAAGTAACATAAATGATGCAATGTTTACTTTTTAAACAGTATTGTTAATTATGATCTATGATTCCCACAGAGTATTGACAGAGGTGCTTAAAAATAAGTATACGGATAAAGAATGGGATTAGAAATGGCGCATCAACAAACCTGTACCTTCAACATGCACAGTAGCAATAGCGAAAACCCGCTAATAACGGTATATTGTAATAACATTATATTATTCCGTTAATTGGAAATTTTCTATTAATGGGAAAATATTTGAAAATAATTGTATATTCATTTTAAAATAATATTTATTACAAGCGACCCGCTCTGGCTTCTCCTGGGAGGAATTTTTGTGGCGGGGTATTTAGACTTTATCAACAATAAAACTTCAAAATTTTGGGGATAAAATTTAGTCTAAATTACTCCTAATGTTAGTTCAGCCATTCCGAAGATTAGCTCGAATAAATGAAAATTTTATAAATGGTTACTCATGTCTCAATGCCATGTAAATATTTTATACAAAAGTATTGACAAATAAAATCAACAATAGTTATGAAGAAAATACCTAAAACGCGCCGTTAGCTCACAAATTAGCAAACCCAGACTGAAAAAAAAACTGACTGAACACTATTTAAAGACGCTACTGTACACAATGTTATATGTTTTTCCATTCGGGGAAAGAATGTGGAGATTCTGGGCATTTGACACACGCGAACATGCTACATACAGCTGACTATGAGAGAAGCACGGTTTTTCTAAGTTGACCCCCGCTACGTGTAACGTTTGCCGCGCGGCTCAACGGCAGGAGATGAGTACATATCAGGAACCATTGTCGTTACCGCGTTTTAAAAACCTAGTAACGGCATCTAACGGAATCAATTTAAACTACGTTACTAACGTTAGTTAATAAGAACTTTCAAAAAATATTTTTCTTATAATTTTGCACAATTTTTCTTATTGTTATACCGATTCATTCATAACCACATATAAGAACTGTATTCATTTCCGTTCAATAAATATTACTACACAATTGGACCCCGTAGTTGGCGCTGTTGTCGAGGTGCAGAAAACAGTCGTGCGAAGCCGGGCGGTGTCGTTAGTCAGCATATAAAATTGGGATTACAAATGGGACCCAACTCGCTTAAGTTCAAGTCAAGACTTGATATTCATATCTCCCTAACTATTAATTTTTAAAATTTGCGAAACATATATTGCAACTTGACCGTTGGAATAATAATAAGTCTAGTCCTATTTTATTTATATTTTTTGGTCAAATGATTAAGTAATAAAAATAAATAACTAAACTAAAACGAGTCTAGCGATGTCGATTGTTCGCTTCATATCATGTCTTGTAAAGTAACGTCACATATAATACTACAATAGTGATGTCATTTTTCTAGTAAATCGGAAGATACGAGTGTACTTACTCTCATATTTGGCATATTCCAAAGATGACCACTTGTCATTACTATTTTCACGCATTATTTACACGCAATATCTTTAAATTATCTTAGATATCTTATTGACTTATTTGAAAATTATTTTAAAAAAGCGAGAGTATACTGACTCAATTTATGTAGAATTATAGGTTGACTTTCGCTTATGATCCTTTAAAAAGTAATTAAAGATAGTTGAGATATGTCTGTTTCATTACTACTTAGTGCGGCCCCACGATTACCGTTTTGAACCGTTCCGTTAATAGTAATTAAAACCAAAATAGTTATACAAAACAAAACAAATTCCTACACTATTATACGAGCAATAAATATAATATATGTTCATTCGTTTGTTTGTTTGTAATTGCTTTCTTGAAAATATCTCTAACGATTTCCTTAAGAGGAAATCACTTTAACTGAACAATTTAATTTAAAAAAATTACTTTTCACATATAATATCACACATAAAAAGTACATATTTTTCAAAAAGTGACGTTGTAAAATCAATATTTTATGATATCATTTTGTTACATTTAAGTCATATTATTAATATTAAGTATGCGTGACAAAGAAATAACGTAAATTAGAACTGGGGAACATTTTATAACACAAGAAGTTTTTGTCAAAAAACCTACACCCATCTTAAGTAGATATATTATGTTTTGATCTTAATATCATATTATAATAAAAAAGTTTATGCATTATCGCATCGCTATACTTTCGCTTTTTAATTTAATTTTCAAATAAGATATGCAAGATAATTGAAAGATGTTGCGTGTAAATCATGCGTGAAAATAGAAATTTTCATCTCCTGCTTCATAACTTTAAAAGGCGTATGGATTCTTCCTATTAAATCCTCTCCGGTTGATATTTTCCCATGCATGTAGACGAGCTCCTTGGCCCGTCCCCAAATGAAAAAATCTACAGGAGTTAAATCAGGCAATCGACATGGCCAAGGGATAAGGCCGTCTCTGCCAATCCAATTCTGTGAGAAACAATAAACAACGACACTATTAGAAATTAATTGAAAAGAAAGGGTTTTATTGTTAAAAACCTTAGAAATTCAGTTTTAAAAAAGGAGTAGACCTCGTCTATTACAAGTTCAGCTTAATATGTTCTATATGGTTTAAGGTATCATCTCCTTCAGGCTTTGCACCCATCTTCCAAAAAACCGCTATAAAAGACAAGAAGAAATACGGATACAATTAAATAATACCTATATCGATAATTTTAGCTATGGGTGCGTTATCACGCAGTAATTACTCGCTGCTTTGAAGTCTCCTATTAAAATATAAAAGTTGAGAACACACTAAATTAAGTGAAGTAAGAAGAGAATGAAATCAATACGTCTAGGTTGAAGCCCACTTTTGATTATTTTTAAACGGGTCTAAACGGGAAGTGTATGCCCTTAATGAAAAATCATGAAAAACGTATTTAAGACTTTGTTATAAATTTTAGGACACAACGATTTCAATATTCATCTTCTTATATATAGCTTATTCAACGTTATTTTTCATAACGTTGAACATCAAAAATTATCAATTACTTAGAGTCAATTAACAATAAACCAGGAATTAATCCATAATCATTGTACAACTAAAATGTTGCATGCTATGATCAATTTTTACTTACTATATTTTAACACTAATTAATTATAAAAAAATAAGTACTAGATGTATACCGACTATTGGTTGTAAATAACTGTCAATTTCCCTAAAAATATAAAATAAAATAATAAATATTAAATTTACTCTTACACAATAAGTATTGATTTTATTGATATTCACCGTAACATAGATATTACTTAAAAAGAAGATTTTATGTCCAAAATTGCAATAAAAAGACGGTAGTACTTAATGCCTGTTGTAATTCCATTCCACGGATTTTTTTTATCTCTTTGTCTCATTGAAAATAAAAAAAAATTACGCACACAAATACATTAAGTTATGCGTGTGTGCATCCATTGTGTAGGGACGAGTGCGCACAACTATAGCGAGAGTTCACCGCATTCATTCTCGTCGGCAGATGGCAGATGCAGTAGACGCTTTTCGTCAGTCGCGCATAGACAACTCGCCGAGGGCAGGGCTATTCCGATCCGCTCAGCACCATTTTGTGTGTGTCGTTTCGAACGGGACATTGTGTGTATGTGCTCCGTGAATAATTTCAAAACACGAAACAAACTGTTCGTTCTTTATCGAGTGTTTTGCTTTCGAAATGCCCGCGGAGGGATCGATGCGATATCTCGGGCGCTCATAGAAACTGCGCCTCCGTCATGAGCGAGTGATCGTCGACGTAAAAAAAGTTGACACAGGAAACATGTCTGGGCGGACCGCCGACGCGGATGCGAGCGAAGGGTTCGAGTTCGAAATTCGAAAGCGGTCATGTCATCGCCTCTCGGATTTCGTATAAGTCACCGTCCAATGTCAAAATCGTGCACGTACCGCGAGCCGGCGTCGGGACAGTGCGGAACAGTGCAATGCAGTCGTTGGTAGTGTGGTGGGCCGTGGTGTCTGCGGCCTGGGCGCTGGCCGGCGCGTGCTCGTCGTCCATCTCCAAGCGGCCGGCGAGGCCCGCGCGGCCACAGCGCCCGCCGCCTCAGCCGCAGCCCCAACCCCAACCCCGCCTCAACGTCACTTTCCCCACCTACAAGTGCGAGCCCGCCTTCTCGGAGTACTACTGCCTGAACGGCGGTTCGTGCTTCACCGTCGTCATCTCGGACAGCCCCCTCTACAACTGCGAGTGTCAGAGTGGCTTCGTGGGGCAGCGCTGCGAGTTTAAGGACCTGGACGACTCGTACGTGCTGACGAGCCGGCAGCTGATGATGGAGACGGCGTCGATCGCCGGGGGCGCGACCGTGGCGGTGTTCCTCGCGATTCTAGTCTGCTTCGGGGCGTGGGTGCGACTGCACCGGCGGGCAAAGGCGCCGCCCTTCGGCGAGGAGTACGGGTCTTCGCCCCCCGTGCAGCTGGTGGCCGTGGCAGCGCCGCGCGGCCGCGTGCACCTGTGCACACGCTAGTGTCTGCCACGGATGGACAGACTGTCAGTGTACATATAGATATGTGTTAAGTTATGTGGAGCGGACGGAGATAAGAAAAATTTATGTGATAATTATTTTACGAAGCTTATAATAATTTATTTGGAAGGAATTTCTTTTGTATATAGAGATCTGAGCCGTTCACTAGTTACTGTTGCGTTGTGTGGAAGTAAATTTTCAGTCTCCCCGTTATATGTTTCCATGTGAATTGTACGCTGTATTATTTTGTTCATATTCAGTGTAATGGATGTGTGAATCATCTTTGGAAATGTACCTTATGCTACTCGCTTCAAGTAGAAATGTTTTGTTATATTGTTGTTGCTTCTGTATTGTGCAATACAGGAGTGAAAGCTCTTGAGGGTGGAATTACTTGTATCTATTTGTTTACAAAACTACGAATAACCTATTAGTTTCATATTGAAAGGCAGATCATATAAGTAGTTCCATCCTGGGAGGATGTTGTTTCTGTCGGTGCCTTGGGTCCATTGCAGATGCTGCATGTTATTGTTTTAAAATGTAGCAAATGTTTAATAGTTCAGCCTCACTGTGAAGCTTTTCACTTATCACTGCCTAGTATATTTGTATAAAAATTAAATGTTAAATGAAAAATAATGTTCTTAATATATGGAGTGATTCAATGTAAAAAGCCTTACAGTGAGGTAGGGTGCATGTTGCCAGACTAGGTTCTTAGTGACTGCAACATGCATAGTTAGATACTTGTGAATCAATGTTTATTGTATTTATTAGTACTTTTTGTTCTATGTGAATAGAATTGTGATGAATTTGAAAGTTTGTTAGGGCAGCGAGTAGCAGAGTTCCTATGCGCAGCGCCATGGCGCATGCTCGCACATTCCATCTCGTGGATAGAGTATTTTACTGGTGTCAGTATTATTTTGTAATACAAATCTTAAGCCAGCAGCTTTACTTTTTAATTTATACCAGATATCCCGCTGGGATAAAGCTGTATTATATTCGTTCAAAGGGCTAATGTGCCCTAAACGAAACAGGCTTCTTGTAAATATAGCCCATGTAGGTATTTATTAGATATTTATAAACGTTTATTTATTGACTGCTTTATTTAGTTAAAAAAGAAACTGGAGTATCAACCACATCCAAGTTGCCTATTAACAAAAATGGTTGCATCTTAAAAACTTGCTAAGCATGGCCTCGCATATCTTATTCCTCATGATAATCTCATTATGAATCTCCTCTTATAAAAATTGTAAACATTGGATGGTGTACAAAATTTGCCCTTGAGCAGTGTGAACCCACTTATATACAATCTGTCTAAATTTTTTACTAATATGTAATCTAAAACTAGCCCTAACTGCTATATTTTGTATATCTGTAAACTTAGGCTTTTGGCTTGTGCTTCATTGATAAATGTTCTGTATACATCAGTATTTATCGGATAATTCTAAAAGTTTATTTGTGTATTTTCTTGTGGTTCACATTGCTTAAGGGAAACAAAAAAAAAGTAAAACTTGTGATCTACAGCAGCAGCCTGCCACAGAGCTGTCAATTTGTTGAGGTTTTATTTTATAACTTAAAGTACCATTCCTATGGAATTTTCACTTGTTGACTTAGTTTATATCACCAATTTGTCAGCTGATGATGCAGGCATCTAGCAAACCGATGTGAAGTGTTGTCCATGTTGTGTCGATTCATGTGAGATGGTTTATATGAACATTCCAAAGTATATGTAAAATATTACCTACATCACTAATAATTTTGAAGTATCTGTTAAGACGCTACATTGTTAATTATACAGTTTTCTATTGATCATTTGTTAAAAGAAAATTATACGAAACTAAATCCTTATTCTATGTTTTTTATTTAACACATAAATTTTTTCAGTTATATTTCATAAACAACATAAAAAGTCAAAAATGCTAGTAATTATTGATCTTCAATAATGAACTTATTTCGTTGGAAAATATTTTGTTAGCGATCTCAATCGCCGCACGTAGACCTAACAATACATTAATGATTGTAATCTTGACCCAATTCTCGACGAAAATCGAAAAAAAATTGTAAGTTGCTAAATGAACTACACAGCTAGCGATATTGGGCCTATAGGTAACGATATTGTGTAAATACTTTACGAACTGATAAGTAAACATTATGTAGAAAAGTATGCTTGCCCATTCTTTCTTATGTTTTCATTAAGTTGTGCAATACAGTTATGTACGCATAACATTGAAATTAGTCCGAGAATAAAGATAGAACATCTGAAGTTATTTTAAGAAGAATTGTTTGTTTATGTAAATATCATTCTAAGGAAAGTTATGTTGCAGTATTGAATGAAATCTGATCAGAAAGGGCGCTTTTGTTATTCTGTAAATCATCGTTTCACAAAACAAGGATTAAAAATAATGCGTGATCAATTCCATACACCATAAAAGACCTAAAAAAAAGCAAACGTGAAGCAACGGCAACTGCCCATTGAACCTCTGGGAGCATATTTTTATGAATAGGTACCCGACCGGTCCGCCACCGACGTCGCATGTATAGAGTTCATTGAATGAGTGCCCGTCGGTTTGTTGACATTCCCCGAAAACCTGCCTCGCCCGGAATAGCCGCGTATCACAAGCTCCCGATGGATGGACAACGACCGAAATAGACGCCGCTCCGAAGTAGATTAATGCCGTTTTAGGAGTTCAATACTGATGAAACTCACCCATTTAACCGAAATAAGGCAGGATGTCGGCTTAGCGAGGGATGTATGACAATAGCTATGAAACACTCATTTTTAATGTAAATATACATTAGCGGAGTATTAAATTTTGTTACAAACCTTTAAAAAAACTTAACTAAGTGCTTACATGTAAGCAATCTAATTGACAAGGTATTAACGACTGATGAAAGCAGTTTTTATTAGTAGGTATATAAGCATATTTTTCTGTTATGGAGGTATTTTGCTTCATGTGTTTGTTGTTTTATAATTTAGCTAGGTGCAAAAATTACATTCTATAATTTTTTAAATAGAATAAGGTTGACAAATGAGCACACACTACACCCGATGGTGAGTTCTGTGGCTTATAGACATCTACATATATCCTCGATTAAGAATCAAAATGCAGATGCGTTATTACCTCTGAAGACTAAGATGGAATACCTCGTTTCAAGTAAAAAAGGGTCTCCGGATCTTTACACTCACAATACGAATCACTGCAGCATTAAGCTGCTATTTTATGCTGGTATTCTGTGAGAGCGTGGTCCTACCCCGGTCGAGCCGACCCATTAGTGCTTCAACCATAGCATAGAAGTAACGTGGCTCTACCAAGTATAAATATATATATATATATATATATATATATATATATATATATATATATATATATATATATAAAAATAGCTCTTAAAAGTAGATATTTTTGATACCATAAGAGAATTGCACTTGTATAAAACATTTGTAAAATATTTTATTATGTCTTAAAGCTTTGTTCAAATTCAACGCAGATAATTTATTGACACATTATGTAATGTTTCTTGTGGAAAATGATAGCCGGTTCAAAATCATCTGCATATTCAAACATTGTTGCTCAGCCCGTCTTCGTGGTTCGTATTCGCACCGTATGGGTTATTTAAATCGAGCTGACGTTCACAATCAAAACTGCTGTGAATGAACACATCAAGTCAAGGCGAAACCGAGACAATCGTCATCGTCGGAGACATCCACTAGCATCAACGTCTTCTAGCACCACTGTATTAAGAGCTACCTCACCGCTCTGCGACTATGTAAAGATAGGCGATAACGCGGGTGATAATGGAAACTCGCGGATCGCAATCCTGGTTGTGGGTTAGACGGAGCGTCGCTCAGCCCACGCTGGGATCCTTTATGGTCATCGGCCAGTGGTCATTGCGTCCAATTAACATGCCTACGTGCCCGGCCCACTTTGTCATTATGTTGCCGCGCGAAAATCTTCCTGCTACTCGAAAATATAAAATATAGAATGAGGACGGAATATTAAATATTATGTAATTATTTGGGAAAATATGGACATTATAATGTAGGTAGTTTTTACCAATTTAATAATAAATCGAAATAAAATGACATCTACTAAATATCCTAACCTTGCATATATACAAGTATCTCAATACCGTTATTTCTCATTAGCGTTTTGACTTCTTGTCACATTAGAAGATCTAAAATTAAAGTACTAAAACGCCTCAAACATTCATGAAAATGGCATGTGAGGTGATGGTGATGTGAGGGGCTGTGCAACAGGAGAGATTCGATCACTCTGCTCCAGTGCGAATTGGCAGTCTCATATATTATTTTATGATAAATAAGCACTTAAATTTGCTATTAACGATTTCATTGATGCTGGTGGGACTGAACCCTAGTTTCTTACCTAGGAAATAAAAGGCTTAGACTCCCACGGCGGCTAAAGAAAATTATGTCATTCAAAAGAAAATAATAGGTAGGTAAATATTGTTTAAGTAATTCGCCCCGCGTGTCTCGATTCTTTTTTTTCAACTCCTTGTAGCAAATGATTTTAACATTAAACGTGTTAATTGGTCACTGGTGCAAGCATATTAATTGTCCGTTTATGACAAGTGGCAAGCGTGATGCATCTGGTGATTCGGTCAACTTCACCTGATCGTGAAGCATTATCTGACTTGTTGGCTTCAAGCCCACCTTCCGCCCGAGTGGTTCTTCCTGCGCCAGATGGCGGCACGTGCGCGACAAAAACGACACGCTCCTGTCATAGATCAACAGTGTGCGTTTTAATTAATAAATTGTATCTAAACAAATAATTAAATTGAAATGACTGTTTGTAATATAAAAAATAACAAATATTTACTAAATGCATGTGAAAGAATATACGGTACTTATAAAAAAGAACAATTTTTTAAATTCTTGTCTGTATCTTTGTTCCGGCTAATCTATAGAATGGTTGGACTGATTTTGACGGGACCTTCACAGGAAGATAGCTGATGTTATAGTGAAGTAACATAGGCTTCTTTTATTTTAG